ACCTCAGAAGGGCCTTCTTGCTGTGCTGTTACAATCAGGAGGCCATCACCCGGAGAGACACAGCAAATGTGCTAGATTGGGTCTTTCTTCTTGTTACAAACTCACTAATACCATCAAGGAGGTCCTAGGCTCATAACCTCATCTAATCCTAACTACTATCCAAAGGGCCTATGTTCATAAATCATTAACATATGAATTTGGAAGTTCAAATGCATGAACTTTTGGGGGTCTTACTCAAAGCACAGCAACATTATACTTTCTCGCTTGACTTCTGGAACATACTGCTACATTTGGGCTTAACATAAAGCTTAGGAGCATTAATATGGCAGTAAATAATCTTATATTCTTAAAAACATGGGCTTCAAAGCTGGACAGACCTGGGTTAGGATCCCAGATCCTCACAATAAGTATACATTGGGCCAGTCTTTCTTACTTCCCTCATTTTAAATTGTGTATAATGATTTCTATAGGTAGGAAAACCAGATAATTTTTGTTCAAACTGGAAATGTGTTTGCAAAAGGAAATGTTAATAATTATGTTTGAACAAGTGGCAATTGTCTAGGCAAACCCAAGAGTACAGTCACTGTACTAATTGATGCTAAAAGAATTAATTAGAAAAGAAATACAAAGCATGTAGCACAGCCTGATCCTTGACAGGGGTTCCAGAAATACTAGCCAGACTTTGTTTTAATTATTGAAAAGATCTATTGTGCTACCTTGATTTCCTTTTAACAATATGCCTATTTTCTTTATTTTGATGGAGAGTACTGGGCTGACATAAGTTTAAATTTTCTCAAGGCTGAGAAAAATGTGAATTGTAGATTAAACAATCAACTTCTCTTAAGGAAGATATCTTAGTTACTTTTTCATTGCTGGGAAAAAAATACCTAACATGCCCACAATCATAAGGATTATTTTAGCTTACAGTTTATAGAGGTTTCAGACCAGTCAACCGGTTCCAAGGTAGAGTACATGACAGAGGGGCATGGCAGCAGTTCATGGTATGGCAGACAGTAAGCAGTAGCAATCAGAGTGATACAAGAAGAAAAACTGATCTCATGTGGGTGACCTCCAAATAATACAGAGAATTTCCAAATGATATAGGGGAAAAATGATCTCCTGACCTGACCTGGATGAGTTCATGTTCTCTAAAACTGAAGAATGAATTTTAAGAACAAACGGAGGTTATGAGCAGAATATATTTATTGAGAGAAAGAAAGCTCCTGTCTGAGAGAGGGATAGGAGAGGGGCCTGAGCAGGTTGTCCCCAGGTAGCCGTCTATTCCAGGGACTTTTATAGTGTAAAACCATGTGGGGCTAAGGTAGAGAAAATGGGAACTCGCTTAGGTGGATGTGGGGTGGGACAAAACTATAGTCAACCAATGGGACTACAAGCACCATTGCTCAGGTAAAATTAAGTCCAGGACCAAATGGGGAAGCGAGTCATATAGCAATTGAGAATGAATGTAGAACAGGAATTTATCAGGTCGCCATCCAATAGTAGTCGGATTAATGATTTTTCTGGCCCCTTCAGCGTGATGATCAATCTTGGATGCCAGTCTTTAGGGAGGTTGGTATTTGTTTGATCTTTGGTCTTTAGGTCTGGCCCACAGTGGGAGCATCCATCCCTTCTAGTGTTGCAAGATATCTTGTCTTCTGTGTTATCTCCTTTGAGAGCCTAGCCTTGTCTGACTGCCTATATTTCTCAGCCTATATAACTCAGCTGCCTGCAACAAAAGCAGGAAGAAGAATGTCCATATACACCTTTAGAGGTCATGCCCACAGTGACATCCCTCCTTAGGCTTCATGTCCCAAAATCATGCTCAGCTATAAACCCATTAGAGGAGTAATCCTGTATCACATAACTGGAATTCAGTCACCTCCCAAACACCCCACTTATGGGTACATGAGGCTTTAAGGGACATGTAAATATAAACCATAATTGAAAAGTAATTTGCTTTTGTCTTTTGGATGCAAGTTTTCACTATAAAGTTCAGGCTGGTCTTGAACTCACTTTGTAGCCAAGGCTGTCCTCAAACTCACAGCAATCTTTCCGTCTCACTTTCTGAGTGCTGTGATTACAATTGTGCACCATGCTCAGCCCAAAAGATGTTCACAGAGATTGCATTTCTAATCGTAAGATTGTAGCATAATTTGTGATGACATATTAGACCTTACTATTAGAGATTTTGTGTACCACAAATGAAGCTGGGGCTAGGGAAATGGCTCAGTAGAATAAGTGCTTGCCTGGCAAGTGCAAGGGCCTGAGTTCAATCCCCAGTTCCATCAAAAAGAAAGAGAGAGAGAAAAAAAAGAACCATGAAGGGAAAACCATGATTTTTTGTGGTTAGTATGTAGTAATTGGTAGAAAACTCTTTAATATTTATGATGATGAAAAGAACCTTTTCCTGAGTCATATATTGACATTTACTATATTAGAAATAAAAAAATTTATACAAAATAAGAATGATCCTGTATTAGCACAAGTAATACATTTACTTGTCTTTTATTTTTTAAAGTCAGGGCCTTAAAACAAAACCTGTGTTTCTAACTCACTGTGTAGCACTGGTGGCCTCAAGTTGCTGGGATAACATGCACCACCATGCCCAAATAACTATCACATTAAAAGGAAAGTATATTTTATTTATTTGTTTGTTTGTTTATTTTTTGGCGGAACCGTGGATTGAGCTCAGATCCCTGTGTTTGCCAGTCAAGCGCTTATCCTACTGAACCATCTCCCCGGCCCCAGGAAAGTATATTTTAAAAAATGAAAAATTTTACAGGTTTCTCACTGTAACTTTCTGAAAACTCCATTGCCTGATTTAATAGAAGGAAAACTGGATCTTCACATCTGCCTTTTTATCCAATTTGTTGCAATATGTTGTTTTGATGGAAACAGAGGAATAAAATATGTTGTTGAAAATGGAGGGTATCTTATTCTTTTGATACTTCACCAAAACTGCATAGTAGTTTCTTATAAGTTAATTGCAATGTGGAATCTGCGAGAATATATGTGAACTTTTTGTACTGTTACACTAAACTCTGTCTTGTACTTTCAGTGAATCTTTTACTCATGATGGGTACTATTACCTACTATTTGCTTGGAAAATATTGATAAACCGTTTACACATTTTAGAAACCTAACACCTTAGAAAATTTTAGAAAACAGCTGAACTTACAAGCACATATTTCATTAGCCAAACAATGATGATGCTATATTTGATTATTATTATTATTATTATTATTATTATTTTGTGTGTGTGTGTGTGTGTGTGTGTGTGTGAAAACCTGCTTTGTACATCTGGGATACAAAGGAAATAAAGACAAATTATTCCAACTTATTATTAAAATAGTTTTGACTATGAAAGCTCTGCTAGAAGGGTCTTACACTTTAAGAACGGCTGATATGTATGATATGGCCTGTCACATAAAAAAGAAAAAAAATTGCTTCACTTTTTAAAAACTAGAACATAATAAACACACAACCAGCAAAATACAAAAAAAAAAAAAAAATACTTCCAGTGGGCAAGTTCGAATATCTATGTAGGAAAGGAGATGGGCTTATAGAAACATAGTCTCCCAGTTAAAGCTCATTTTCATTTAATGGAATTTGAATCCTACTAATTAGCAGTACTTCAAAGCATGTGGACAATAGTCTTTGAGAAGCTCCAAATGGTTCATTTACAGCCTTTCCAAGATAAGGCTCTTCGAGGAAGACACGCATGGCACAACCCCACTAAACTAAAAATATTTGTTTTCTGCTGGCAGTGGGGACTGAAAAGCATTTTACTATAGATCAAGTTTCCTTTGAGAGTATTCAGTAAATGACATTATAAAGTGGACCTGATAAGGAGGTTGGTAAAGTGCTAGATAAGCCTATTGTTTTGCTCCTTTTGTTCTGTTATTTCAGTTTTTTAAAAGCTGGATGTGGGGGCAGGTTGATCCTATTTTTTGGAAAGAACTATTCTTTATAAGGAGGTTGGCTATAGGACCTTCATTCAACAGTAGTAAGAGACATTTGCTTTAGGTAACCTACCTCTTACTTTTTAGTTTTCCAAGATTCTTCCCACCCTACTGTGTGACCCACCCAGACCTTTTCATTTCGCAAACAAACATCCCTTTGTATTCGGTCCATAAAGTGTGATCTTAGCTTAGATCCCTTCATTCAGCGGATACAGTGATGTCAGGTTAAGTCTATGCTATTATGTATGAATGATGGGTAACTTCAAAGTATTTAAGAACTAAGAACCAACTGAGGAGCTGAACAAATACCCTTGCAAAGAGGTCATCACATGTAGTCATTGAACAAATTGCTTTGCTTTCCTTTCCAACCATACTAAAAGGCAAGAAGCCCTTTGGATCGCAAGATAATTATCTTCAGTGCCCAGCCAATGACTGAAGGGCAGTCCTGCTAAGGCAAGAAATGCGCAGTGAGGTCGTCAAACGGTTACGTTTGGCCGCCTCACAGGTTAAGATAATAAGCCGAAAGTGAATGAAGGCCCCTGGTAAATAAATTCTGGGATTTTCAGTACTCTCTTTTGATATTCCATATACTGACTTAAAGATTGTTATTTTGTTTTCGTGAAACAAACTTCTGTGTCATCCATGCTGGAGGCTGTGATTACCATGTGTATTTTTAGGCTAAGCCTGGAACTTAGGTGTCCGTGAGACTGGCTACGCTAACGTCATCTCCGCCCTCCTTCGGGCGGCGTCTTTTCTCCCCGTGCAGCTGTCCCAAGCCCGAGCTTGGCGGAGCGTGGACAACGGGGGAGGCTGCCCGGCCCGGAAAGCCGTCAACACACTCGTCTTTTTAGGGTCTCTAGGGATTTGCACTCCCGCCGTGACCTCTTCTCGAAGAGTCAGGCAGGGCGGTGTCTGCAGAGCCAGAGCCCTCAAGGCGCGCTGACCTTTAGCAACAGACATCGCGGGTGTGCCACCGCTGGGACAGTCTCAGTGACAGCAGGGGGCACCGCGCGACTCTTTTCTTTAACCCCTTTTCGCATGCAGTTCCACTCCCCACCGGAAGAGGCGCGGTTTTTACTTGACGCCACTTCCGGTGCGGAGGGCAGTTCCCTGGCGGGAGCGAGCACGCCACGGCGCGCGACACCTTTGTTCCCGCCTCCCTTACCCTGTGCCTCCACTCATCGTCAGCTCTCTCGGAGCGTGACGTACGTGCGCGCTCACGGCCTTGCGTCAGGGCCGCGGTGGGGGGGACGAAAAGAGTGAGAGTAGAAGGAGGGGTTGTGGAGGTTAGGACCCAACCAGAGATTCTTGTCGACCTTCCTCCTCCTGACGAGCAGCAGAGAGGGAAGGGGAGGAGCGACCTCAGGCCGGCTGTGCAAGCCGGGAAGCCTCGTGTAGGGAGAGAGGGAGAGAAGGGGCGACAGAAGAAGAAGAAAGTCAGAGCCTGTCCCCTGCACCCCGGACTCCGGAGCGCCCGCCCCCATCGCCCCGGAAGCGGCGCCCCGCCCCACCGCACCGCGCCGGTCTCAGAGAGCGCGAGGCCCCGCCGCCCCGCCGCCGCCGCGGGAGGACGACGACGTCGACGCGGAGGCGTGTTGTCGTCTCGCTCGCCGCCGACGTCAGGGCGCG